CTAAGAAAATCTTCTGCACTATCTACTATGCCATCAATTTTGGTGTCATCTGCAAACTTACTAACCATGCCTTCTATATTCTCATCCAAATCATTTACATAAATGACAAACAAAAGGGGATCCATAACGGATCCCTGCGGTACACACTGGCGACAGGCCTCCAGTCCGAAAAGCAATCCTCTACCATCAGTCTGTCTCCTGCAGTTAAGTCAATTATGTATCATGTGGAACCTTGTCAAAGGCTTTACTGAAATCCAAATAAACAACGTCTGCTGCTCTGCCCTCATCAATCTTTTTAGTAACTTCCTTAAAAAACACACAATCAAGCTTGTGAGACACAATTTTCCTCATTCTAAACCATGCTGACTATCCCTGATTAATTTCTGCCTCTCAAAATGTCCATAAATCCTATCTTTTATAATCACCTCCAATAATTTACCCACGACTGAAGTCACACTTACAGGTCTACAGTTTCCCTGGTTTCTCCTTACAACCTTTTCAATAGAATCCTTACAGTGTAGAAGCAGGCCATTCGGCCCATCAAGCCAATCCACCTAACCTGCACATCTTTGGACTGTGGGAGGAAACCGGAGCACCCGGAGGAAACCCACGCAAACTCGGTTGGAGCAAGGCACGCACCCTGCCCGAGACTGGGGCACAACTTGAAGTTGGTCCCGACCAAATCTGGGTACCTCACCCGGGCTAAGAAGCCTCCCAGGAGCAGGATGTCTCGGATTCACTCCCTTTGGAAAACAGACCACTTCCCATGTTCGTAAGTTGTTCAAACTCGGTCAGGGCAAGGCTTGCACCTGCCCAAGACCTGATCGCAGTTTGAAGTGTGCCCCGACCGAATCCGGGTACCTCACCCAGGCTAGAATGCCTCCCAGGTAGCAGGACATCTCGGATTCACTCCCTTCTTAAACAATGGTACAACATCCACCCTCCAGCCATGAGGCACCTCATCCGCAGTTATGGATGATGCAAATATTTCTGCAAGGGGAGGTCTTGCAATTTCCTGCATTATTTCCCACAATGTTCTGGGATACATTAGATCAGGTCCCGGAGATTTATCCACCTTTATATTCTCTAAGACCTCCCAAACTTCCAGAAAAGTAATGTGAACTGTTTTTAAAACATTGAAGTTTATTTCTCTGCATTCTCTAGGCTCCATTTCTTTCTCTACAGTGAAAACTGATGTGAAATATTCATTTAGTATCTCTCCCATGCCTAGGGTTCAACACAAGGAAGACCTCCTTGATCTTTTCAGAGGCCCTATCCTCTCTCTAGTTACCCTTTTGCTGTTATGTATTTGTAGAATCTCTTTGGATTATTCTTAACATTATCTGCCAATGCTCTCCAATAATCCCTATCTGCTTTCCTGATTTCTTTCCTACGAATGCCCCTACACTCTTTATATTGATTAAGACGTTCAATTGAACCAAGTTGTCTATATCTAAAATAAGATTCTCTTCTATTCATGACTATAGCCTCAGTATCTTTATTCATCTGTTGTTCGTTAATGTTACCAGCCTTACCATTCACTCTAACAGGAACATAATGCCTCTGAACTCTCGTCATCACACTCTTGAATGTTTCCTACTTGTCAGATGGCCTTTTACCTGCAAACAGTCTACTCCAATCAACTTTTGAAAGTTCTTGTCTCATACCATTAAAATTTGCCTTACTTCAATTAAAAACTTTAACCTTTACAGAAGGCTTATCCTTTTTTATAACCATTTTGAAACTAATAGAATTATAATCGCCAGACCAAAGTGTTCGCCTGCTTTTACTTCAGTCACCTACCCTGACTTATTGCCCAAAAGGTCTAGTTTTGCTCCTTCTCTTGTAGGAGCATCCACATATTGATAAAGAAAATTTTCTTGAACACATTTGACAAGTTCTTCACCATGCAAACCTTTAACACTACGGTAATCCCAGTCAATGTTTGGAAAATTAAAATCCTCCATTATTACAACCTTATTATTCTTACATAAATCCCTACATTTTTTTTCTCAATCTTCCACTGAGTACTGGGGGGCCTATAATACAACCCATCAAGGTGATCTTCCCTTTCTTATTTCTACCCATACATTTTCAGAGGACGATTTTTCAGAAATATCTTCTCTAGTTGCAGCAGTAACGTATTCCTTAATCAAAATCACCACCGCCCCCTTCCTTTCTTGCCTCCTTTCCCGATTCCCAATCTGGAATATTGAGCTGCCAGTCTTGTCCATCTCTCAGCCAAGTTTCTGTAATAGCTATGAATTCCCAATCCCAAGTTCTTAACATGCCCTGAGTACATCAGCCTTATCTGTAAGACCCCCTGCATTACTGATATTAAGCTCACCAGTCTGTAGTTCCCTGGCTTTTCTTTGCAGCCTTTCTTAAATAATGACACAACATTAGTCATCCTCCAGTCTTCAGGCACCTCACTCATGGCGGTTGATGAAATAAATATCTCTGCTCGAAGCCCCGCAATTTCTTCCTTAGCTTCCCACAATGGCTTGAGATGCACATGATCAAGTCCCAGGGATTTATCACCCTTTTTACGTTTTAAGACCTCCAGCACCTCCTCTTTTTATAGTCAGTTCATGGTTTGGGGATTCTTAAATTGCGCTGTAATCCCTATGGCACAAACAGCACTGTAGCTATGTAGCATACGTGAGATTACAACTCCTGTGTTTTAAATTTGTTTATGGGAAGCGCTCATTGCTAGCAAGGCCACATACAGGTCAGGGATATACTTCCCTAAAGGGGACTAGTGAATGAGGTGGCATTTTAATGACAATCGTCATTTGATTAGATTTTTTTAATTCCATTAAAACAACACAGAAACAGGCCGCCTGGCCCACCGTGTCTACGCCGACCAATAAACACCAAAACCTCTAATCCCATTTACCTGCACTTGGTCCAGAGCCTGCACTTTAAGTACTCATCCATATGCCTCTTATATGTTGCAAGAGTATCTGCCTCCACCACTCTCTCAGGCAGCATCTTCCATATACAACTCCCAGCCTGTAGGCGAAAAATTTACTTACTCAGATCTCCTCTAAACCATTTACTCCTCACCTTAAATTTGTACACTCTGGTCTTAGACATGGGGAAGAGATTCTCACAATCCACTCTGTCTATGCCTCATAATTTTATATATCTCAATCAGATCCCCCAATCAGCCTCCTCTGCTTCAAGGAAAATAAACCCAGCCTATCCAATCTCTTCTCATAACTCCTCTGCACCCTCTGCAGTGCAATCATGTCCTTCCAATAACACAGCGACCCCAGTTCTGTGAACTGACCAATGTTTCATACAGTTGTGACAAGACTTCCTTGCTCCAATATTCTATGTCTCACCTAATGAAGGAAAACATCCCATATGCCTTCTTCACCACCCTGGGAACTCAGTTTAAAAGCCCACCATGACAGATAGTGGAATTTAATTCAGTAAAAATCTGTAATTAACGGTCTAATGGTGACCATGGAACTATTGTTGATTAGGTTGTTGACTTGCTTGTGAAGCAAGTTTATTAAGTAACAGATACTTAACTAATCCAGCAACCATGCCAACACCCATCAGCGGAACTGCATCAGGACATTATTCGAACAGGCCACAACACACTGTAGCCATCCAGAACTGCACAAGGCAGAACAGGAGCACTTATATGGAGTTTTTAAAAGGAATGGATACCCAAAAAGCACAATCCACCGTTACCTTCGCGACAGACCACAACAAGAAGACAGAATATGGCCAGACACATTAGTCACCTTACCGTACATCAGAGATGACCACAAGACTATTCAGATCTCTAGGTATCAGGGTAGCCCAAAGGCCAACAACCACACTGCGACAGCTACTGACGAACACAAAGGATCCCATGCTCACAATCAATAAAACTAACATAATATACAAAATACCATGCAAGGACTGTGAAAAACATTACATAGCCAAACTGGAAGCAAACTGACAATAACGATACACAAACACCAACTAGCAACCAAGAGACACAACCAATTCTCACTGGTCTCAATAAATACAGACAAAGAAGGACACAACTTCTACTGGGACTACACATCCATAATAGCACAAGCCAAACAGAGACATGCCAGCGAATTCCTGGAGGCCTGGCAATCTAACTGGAACTCCATCAACAAACACACTGAACTAGACCCGATATACAAACCACTGAAAAACAGAACCCAAAGTAATGCCAACCACCCCAGTAAACCGAGGCATATAAACCACAAGCGGGACAGAACACCAACGCTTCACCGGAGGTGCACTGACGGTGTTACCTAGCAGGGTGATGAGACATTTGCAACCAAACGCACCAGCTCGATGAGCAAGTCTACAACCTTATCCACAACCCAAGCTACAAAGCTTCTCAAAAACTTTAAACTATTGTTGATTGCCAGAAAAAACAACTTACCTGGTTTACTAATGTCCTTTAGGGAAAGAAACTGCCATCATTACTTGGTCTGGTTGACATGTGACATCAATGTGGTTGACTCTTAACTGCCCTCTGGGCAAATAGGACTGGGCAATAAATGCAAACCACACCAGCATTGCCCAGATCCTGTGAATGTACACTTCTTTTGTAAACTAATGCACCGGAATTCAATCTGTGATGCAAGAACTTAATTCTGATCTGAAGTATTGACATGAGCACATTCATAGAATCACTTATAACTGAAATTACTAATCCAGAAAGATGAAGGTAACTTGCAAATGGGACATCAGACACTGTGGAGGAAAGTGTGTCCTAAGACGATAATATTTTTCTGATACTTTGACAAGTCCAGTCCACTGTCATGTTATGATGGCTGGGCACTGAGATTCACAAGATGGACACCTGAAACTCACTGTAGTATCATCTCAAGGGCAGTTGATGACTTAACAACAAGTTAGAGATGCTCACAGCACAGAAATAAATAAAACTTCAAACAACTTCTCAGCAGCAAATATTCGAACAGCAGTGTTAAGTCTTTGCTGTCTAGTACCATTACCTGATGTAAATGTATCACTGTCCCCTGACCGCCACATTTCATTGGTCGCCAAGGAGAAAATTGTCACCGGATTCTTGCCATCCACCTGTCGCATCACAGGGTCCTGCCCAACCCTGCCGAGCAGCTGGACCCGGTTCAGAGCTGGAGAGAAAGAAACATGCAGAATACCAACACTCTAAGTAATCCAGTCTGCACCAGAAACCACTTGGTAATATCTTCACAAAGCATCGGATTGCAGCTGAATAAGAATAACATTGAACAGGAGGGGAAAGAGGACATACTCAAGCAGTGTTAAATGGACCCTCACCCAAGGCATTGCGTTTTTGTTAAATTTTAATAGGGATTATAGTTGCTTGGTGCATTGTGCACGGCAAAAGCTCAATCTGAAGCGTGTTGCCAGCCAACAGTACCCATTTCTTGAGCAGCTGGAATAGTTGCTCCCTTTTGAGATTTGGTATTCTTACGATTCTGTCCTGACAGGTAGAAGATGGATAACAGGTCTCTTACTTCAATGGTAAGCACATTCTGTATTACCAAGCGGAGAGGGTGAAGCTAGAATGGGGTGGGAGAGAGAGGCAGTGTGGGGGAATGGGAGGAGGGAGAGGCTGGTGGAAGCTGGTCTGAATGCAGATTAAACATTGAGCAAAGAAAATCAGTCAGCGTACTCACATCTCTCCAATATAAGAGAAGAGGCATCAGTGACCTGATGTTGCACTTGCTGATGGATTACCTGAAGGAATATCAACATAACCATCATGTAGGGTCAAACAGTCAAGATCCAGTCCTGAACAAGCGGTCAGACCAACTAGTCTAATCCCAAACAGACCAGCCTAATCCTGAACAGGTGGAGAGACCAACCAGTCTTATCCCGAACAGGTGGTCTAACAGAGCTGTATAATATCATACACTCAGACTAACCTATCCTGACCGAGGAAAACAGACTGACCTCACCAAATGGTGGAAAAGATCATAACTTTTTACTTTTCTGTATTTTTGATAGTGCACTGAAATATGAAAATCAAGGAATGTAAAGGGATTGCTGCAGTTTTTAAAAGCAAATTACTGAAATTCATTGTTAAGTGCTGGTTACCCTGCTGCTTTGTTCAATCAGTGGGAGAGGTTGCAGATGGGCTGACACCAGGGGCTTGTATAAAATGTGATTCAGTCGGCAACAATACCTTGTTGGTTTGTGGAGTCGTGACCAGTTGTATCTGCCGACAACTTAGTGATTGGCTCCTGCAAAGCTGAACAGCTTAGCAGTGTGAATTATTTTGTAAAAGTCTTTGGACCTCCAGAAGGGGAGTTGTTGTCTGTCTCTCTGCGGTAGAAAATATCTGAAGATTGAATAAAGCCAGTTCTTTTTCCTTCATGTTTCTGTGAGCTGTTGATTTTAAACAGAAAGTCTGAGACTATATAATTTGTGAACCAGTGGCTTTCTGCCTCATGCAAGCATATGAAAGTACCTGGAAAAGAGAGACCAATGAGCAGTAAGCCTTGGCAAGCAAAAGGATCATTTCAGTGAACCCTGCAGACAGGGCCGTTGAACTGCCTTCCCAGGTTAACCCCTCCACTCATAATACCAAAGCTTTTTGGTCTGACTTTTGTGTGTGACTGGGGAGTTTTAAGAGGTTTAGAGTTTTGACTAGTAGAGTTATTGTACAATAGTTCATTGTTGTTTACCTACAGTTAGAATCTGTTTACTTTTATTTAAAGAAACTTTTGTGAAGCACAGAGACCTGGTCCATGTTTTTAGTTTGCCTGTGTTTAAATGGAGAAGTACATCAGGGAAATTTTGTATAGTTTGATGAAATTGTAACTTTTGCAACAACTCTGGAAATAATGGGACTTAATTCCCAGTGAGGAGGACCATTTCATTTTGTAATCCTACATAAAGGTTTAAAATGCCGCACTGACAGGCCGTTACCTAAACTTATAAGAATGGTTATAGTATGGAAGGAGGCTGTTCAATCCATCCATGCTGTCTGTATGCAGGAGCAACTCAGATATTCACATCCACCTGCCCTTTCCCACAGCCTTCATATTTCTCTCATTTTAGTTGCTTGGGCTAATTCCTAATCACTGCATAGGCTTCAATTGTTCCAGCAAGTTTATAATGTGGCACTTTATTGAGTCGATATACTGCATGTTCAAAGAACTGCCTTCAATAACCGTGGGGCAGCATGGTTGCTCAGTGATTAGCACTGCTGCCTCACAGCGCCAGGGACCCGGGTTCGATTCCACCCTCAGGTGATTGTCTGTGTGGAGTTTGCACATTCTCCCAGTGTCTGCGTTGGTTTCCTCCGGGTGCTCTGGTTTCCTCCCACAGTCCAAAGATGTGCAGGCTAGGTGGATTGGCCATGCTAAATTGCCCATAGTGTTCAGGGACGTGTAGATTAGGTGGGTTATAGGGGGATAGGTCTGGGCGGAATGCTCTGGTGTGGACTTGTTGGGCCGAAGGGCCTGTTTCCACACTGTAGGGGTTCTACGGAACCCTCACTGTCACCTCAGCTGATGGGCTAATCAATACAGTCTGTCCACTGTGCCGAGACGCAAACAAATGATCAGAAGGACTGGCTTTGATCCAAACTATGTGGCACAATCAAACCCAAAGAACCCAAATTCGTACTGAATAAATAATTAAACAGTGAACTCACTTTGAAGATAGATCTTCTTAACATCATCTTGTCCCTGAAGAGGTTTTAAAGAAGGCACATTGTTAAGACACACTTCTGAAGGAACACCCCCTACCATTATGTAACCCTAAGCCTTCATGATATTATACACAAACCCGTATGTATCTTAGGCCATACCAGGGAAGAGATAGAGGCAACATCAAAATGAATAAGCAAGAAGACAGCTAAATAGGCCCAAACAAACTCATCAGCATTTTGTTACATAAATTACAAACCACGAGACCAAGATAGTACAGTTACTTGGGCTGACATAGCAATAAGATCATTGTACAAGTATAACGAAATAACAGGGAAGTTGATATCCACAAGCACGTAACGGCACTCTATCTCGCATGAAAACAATGCCCCTTGTTAGCAAACAAAATAGGAACACTGACATGATTAACGAAGGAGGTAGATCTTTAACCATGTTAACCTGATAACATAATAACATTAGGCCACATCAGGATCAAGGGTCAGAAAAACAGACAGATGGGGAACAAAGATAGAGACAGACACATGACCGGCGATGACATAGTTAGAAATTACTCATGCTTTGTAAAGCCATAAAAAGTTGGGGATCGTCCGACAAGTTCAGAGCCTCCCTGACCGTCCTGTGTGACTGTGTCTTGGAGCTCTCCCTGCTGTAATCGATTGCAAGCTTTAATAAAGAAGTGCTACTGTTGAAGCAAGACTCTCGTCCTCGAGGTGTGTCTTTTAGAGTTCAAAAAGACCCCCTACAACTTCCACAGTGTAAAATGTTCAAGTAAGCTCTAATTGAACCAGGATTCATCATGAACAAAGATGATGGTTTAGTTATAATGACACATATTTTGTGATCTGTCTTTAAATGGACACAGGGAGCCTTACAATGCCCCCTTAAAGCAACATGACTTCTCTTATGGATTCAATTTCAGCCACTCAAACTATCTTAAGAATCAATCACAAAGGGTTATTAAATAATTCAAGACTTCCAGGGCTATCCACTGATCTCTCAAAAGTGTGAAACAAAAAACCTTCAGCAGTGGTTAACAGAAGACAGGAGGGACATCATGTGGAAATCCACTGCAACTAACAGGTAGGATATTTGCATTAGCTCCTGTGTTGACTTTGATTTAAAGGAAAAGGGGGTGGCAGGGTGGCTCAGTGGTTAGCACTGTTGCCTCACCCAAGTTTGATTCCAGCCTTGGGTGGCTGCTCTCTCAGTGTCTGCATGAATTCCCGCTGGATGCTCCGATTTCCTCCCACAGTCCAAAGATGTTCAGGTTAGGTGGGTTGGTAATGGTAAATTGCCCCGTAGTGTCCAGGGACGAGCAGGCTCTCCATGACAAATGTGGGATTATGGGGATAGAGTTGGAGCTGGGTATGGGTGGGATGCTCTTTGGAGTCTCGGTGCAGACTCCATGGGCTACGTAGCCACTTTCCTCACTGTAGGAATTCTATGATATATTTCAGTTCTATGAACTGACTTACCTTTATGGAGCAATAATTCAAAATTAATGTGACAATATTGTTTTATTGTGATAAAGGTGGCTGGAAAAACAGCCATTTTGAGGAGAACCAGCTGAACACTGTGCGCATATGGGACAGAGATTTTGAAACACCAACAGCTTCTCAATAGGGAGACAGACAGAGGCTTCCAGAACAAACCACTGCAGTACAACATCACTAAAAAAAAATTAAACAAAGAACTGTGCATGATGGAGATCTGCAGATCTGGCACCATCTGTGAGAAGAAAACAGAGTTAAAATCTTGAGCCGGTGAACATTTTCCAGCTCTGTTTTCTCACTATATATGCTGCCAGACCTGCTGAGATTCTCCAGCAATTTCTGTTTTTGTATCAAGAACAATAGTCTGCAGAGCTGCAAAAGTGAAACAAAGCAGCGTCCAACTTTCCTAGATTTTCTCCTCAGCCCACCTGTAGAAGCAACCTCAAACTATTCAATGACAGAAGCCATCATAGCTGGCTGAAGCTGATTTCAAGTTTTCAAACCTTTCAATCTAGAAAGTGAATCTGCAAGCAAACCAGGCCGGCAAGAATAGGAGAAACTGGTTTTACTTTTATCTTTATATTTAAGTAAATTTATTTATTTTAAATCTGCACATTTGTATTTTAGCAAATAGGTTTCTCACTTTTGGATTCAACATCTTTCAGAATAGTTGTGAAATATGCTAAACTTGTTCCTGGATTAAAACATAAAGCTGAACTGCTGATCATTTTTAAAAAGGCAGCCTACATATAAGGTTAGAGTAAGTCTCAGCTCAAACCAATCTGAGGGCACTACTCACGCCAGGCTATGACACTAACATTCTAAATGTATTACAACCTTACAACACACTGACACAATCATTCTTGGTGCTGAGGAGGTCATTAAGCCTATCACTTCCATACTAGCTCCCTGTAGAGCAACAAAACCAGAAACTGCTGGAGAAACTCAGCGAACCTGGCAGCATCTGTGGAGGGAAAGCAGAGTTAATGCTTCAGCTCCTGTAACTCTTCTTCAGAACTTGAGCAATCCCTGCACAGTGCAATCCAATTCCACTCCTCCAGTCATTCTCTGCAACTCTGTGATGTAAATTCACTGAAGACCCTATTCAAATTCCTTGTTGAATTATTAATTTTTTTTCCCCTCCACTATGCTGGCAGGCAAAAAAATTCCAGGACATTGCCACTCTCTGTAAAATAAAGCTCACTTCTTACATTGTCCCAGCATCTCTTACCAGAGACTTTGAATTCTGTACTGACAAGTTAATGTACAATCAGCTGATGCAACACTACCATTTCTTATTGTTATGTTACCTAAACCTGTCATTATCTCGTAAACTCCAAAGACTCTCCCCTCAATCTCCTTTGCTCCAAGGAGAACAGAGGGAGGTGAACAGAGCTGGTTGTACAGGGCTATGTGAGGATGGAGCTGGTTGTACAGGGGCTGTCAGGAGAATGAAGAAGGTTATTTAGGGGGAATTTTTCTTCTCACTCATGGGACTTAGGTGACACAGGCTGGATCAGCGTTTATTGCCGGTCCCTCATTGCCCTTGAGAAGTGAGTGCCTTCTTGATCTGCAGGCCATTTGATGTAGGTTGACCTACAATGCCCTTAGGGAAACAATTCCAAGATTTTGATTCAGTGACAGTGAAGGAATGGGTGATATATTTCCTGGTCAGCATTGTGAATGTCTTGGAGGGGAACTTGCAGGTGGCGGTGTTCCAATGTATTTGCTGCCCTTGCCCTTCTATATGGCAGAGGTTGTGGGTTTGGAAGGTGTTGTCTAAAGATCTTTGGTGAATGCCTGTAGTGCATCTTGTAGATAGAACACACTGCTGCTACCGCTAGATGGTGGATAGGCTTTGGGGAAACTATAATATTCACTGTGTTTTACAGTTACAGTACATCAGTCTCTCATACTATGCATCAATCACTGATGCTTACTGTGTTGCAGTGACAGAATGTCAGTCTATGACGCTCATTGAGTTAGTTACATCAGTCTCTCACACTCACTGTTAAAATGACAGTACATCACCTCCTCCAATTTAGCAACAATGCCCTCAGTTCCTTCATCTAGATAGTTAATGTAGAATGTAAATTCTTGTGGTCCCAAAATGGACCTTTGCAGAACTTCACTAGTCACCAGTTGTCATCCTGAAAAAGACCCCTTTATCCTTACTCTTCTGCCAGTCAGCCTATCCTCTATCCATGCCAGTACACTGCTCCTAACACCATGGGCACATCTCTGTTTAGCAGCCTCCTGTTAAAGGCCTATAGGAAATCCAAATAGATCATGTCCACGGCTCTCCTTTGTCTCACTTACTCATTACCACCTGGAAGAATTCTAACGATTTATTAGGCATGACCTCCCCTTGACGAAGGTGTGCTGATCCAAGTTCTCAAACATAGAATCCTTACAGTGTGGAAACAGACCATTCGGCCCAACAAGTCCACGCCGCCCCTCTGAAGAACATCCCACCTAGATCCATTCCCTTACCCCTGATTTCCCATGTCTAACCCACTTAACCTAAACATCCCTGGGTACTATGGGCAATTTAGCATGGCCAATCAACCTACCCTGCACATCTTTGGACTGTGGGAGGAAACTGGAGCACCTGGAGGAAACCCACACAGACACGGGGAGAATGTGCAAACTCTTCAACCTCATCCTTAATAATGGGCTCTAAAATCTTACCAATGACCGAGGTCAGGATAAACGGCCCGTAGTCCTGTCTTCCGTCTCCCTCACTTCTCAAACAAGGTTTTACATTAGCCATTTTCCAGAGCTCTGGGACCCTCCCTGACTCCAGTGATTCCTGAAAGATCACCACCATTGCCTCAACAATCTACTCAGATATCTCGTTCAGAACTCAGGTGTAGTCCTTCTGGTCCACGTGATTTATCCACTTTCTGACCATTCAGCTTCCCCAGCACCTACTCCTCAGTGATGGCTACTACACTCACCTCAACTCCTTGACTCTCTTGAAGTTCTGGTATGCTGATGGTGTCTTCCACTGTGAAAACTGATGCAATATACCTATTCAGTTCCACCATTTTTTTTGTTCCCCATACTACTTCTGCAGCCTCATTTTCCAGTGGTCCAATGTCCACTCTTGACACTCCCTTATCTTTTAGATATCTAAAAATAATCTTGCAATCTTCTTTTGTACTACTAGCTAGCTAATTACTCTCATATTTCATTTCTCACTTCTTATTGCTTCAAGTTATTCTCTGCTGGGTTTTAAAGGCTTCCCACTAATCTTCACAACATTGAATGCTTTTTCTTTTGCTGTTTCTGACTTCCCTCTTCAGTCATAGTTGCCTCGTCTTCTTCCCCGTAGTTTGTTTCTCCTTCCTTGGGATGGATTTCTGCTGTGCCTCCCAAATTACCCCCAGAAACCCTTAGCATTGCTGCTCCACCATCAGCTCTGCTACGCTCCCCATCTAATCAACTCTGGCCAGCTCATGCCTGATGTCCTTATTGCTACCTTTCCTCAATTGTCACAAGTTACATCTGAAGCGATGGCCTCACGGCATTATGGCTGGACTGTTAATCCAAAGATCCAGGTAATATTCTGGGGGTCCTGGGTTCGAATCCTGCCACGGCATATGGTGGAATTTGAATTCAATAAAAGTCTTGAATTAAGAGTCAAATGATGACCATTGTTCATTGTCAGAAAAACGCATCTGGTTCATTAATGTCTGTTAGGGAAGGAAACTGCAATCCTTACCTCATCTGGCAGATGTAATTCCAGACCCACAGCAATGTGATTGACTCTCAACTGCCTTCTAGGCAACTAGGGATGGGCAATAAATGCTGGCCATTAAATCCAGCAACACCGTCATCTCATGAATAATTAATAAAAAAATCCAGCTTCTCACTCTCAAACTGCAAGGTGAATTCTATGAAATTATGGTCAACTCCCTCTAGAGGTTGCTTCACCTTAAGATCACATCACCAAATCCAGAACTGCCTGTTCTGTAGCGGGCTGCCCCAAAAAATTGTCTTGTAGGCATTCCATGAAATCCTTTTCTTGAGATCTGCTATCAACCTGATTTTCGCAGACCTGCACATTGAAATCCCCCACGCTTTCTCACATGCCTTTTCTATCTCCCAGTTTATTTTCTACCCCAAATCCTGACTATTGCTAGGAGGGCTGTATATAACTCCCATCAGGGTCTTTTCTACTTTGTGATTCCTCAACTCTACCCACAAAGATTCTATGCCTTCCAACTCTACTTCACTTATTATCAATTTAACTTCATTTCTTACTAACAAGGCAACCCAACCCCTTTTGATAGGACATGTATCCTTAGATATCTAGGTCTTAGCCCTAATCCCTTTGCAGCCACGTGATACCCACAACATTGTATGCTAATATCAATCTATGCTACTAGCTCAGTTGCCTTGTTTCATACACTGCATGTATTTAAGTACAACACCCTCAACATCATGTCAATCATCATCAGTGCATTGCAATAACAGCACATCTGTCCTTTGATACTCACTGTATATCAATTACATTCACTGCACTGCAGGTACGGTACAATCTCACACTCACCACCATTGTAGCAGAGGCTGCGTAGCAGACTGACATACTGTCAGTGTAACACACAGTCATAGATATCATAGAATCCCTACAGTGTGGAAACAGACCCTTCGGCCCAACAAGTCCACACTGACTCATCCTCCTAATCTACACATCCCTGAACACTGGGGGCAATTTACCACGGCCAATCCAGCTAGTTTGCACATCTTCGGACTGTGGGAGGAAATCGGAGACCCACGCAGACATGGGGAGAACGTGCAAACTCCACACAGACAGTCGCCCGATAGTGGAATCGAACCCGGGTCCCTGGCGCTGTGAGGCAGCAGTGCCAATAACTGAGCCACCGTGCCGCCCTATGAATGTGAGAGACTGATGTATTGTACCTAACATACTGCAACTATAACCCACAGTGAACGTCACAGATTTATGTACTGTAAGTATAACACACTGTGAATGCAAGACTAATGTACTGCCACTGTAAGACACAGCGTCACAGACTGATGCATTCTAAGTGAGTGTGAGAGTGATATACTTTCACTGTAACACGTACTATGTAAAGTAGTACTGTAAGTGTGAGACATTGTCGCATATTCAATGTTAGTGACAGTACATCAGTGTCTCATACTCACTGTTGTTACAGTGAAAGTACGTCAGTGTTTACACTGGACATACGAGTACATTATCACTTTGTTGATAAGAATTGATGAATACATAATATATACCCACCTCGTGCCTCACCAGCGCCTGTACCCCGGAACCACCACCAAAAAAAGAGGGTGTTTCCGCATCCGGGTCAGATGGCGGGAAGGAATCGGAATCTGCCAGTTTGGATTGTGCGAGAGAGTGCGGGAATAGCATTCAATAATAACCCCCAGTATCACTTTGACCAGCATGAACATCAAGAGTCTCTTTACAATCAGCAAGAGACGGTGGGAGGGGGTTCGAGCTGGAGGTTCAGGAAGGAGAGAGGGAGACGGAGCTGGAGGTGCGGGGTGGGAACGGGGCTGGAGCTGGGTTATGGGGATGGTGGAGTTTATCCAGTTTGAGGGGCAGGGCTGATTGTACATGGTGGGGGTGGGGGAGGGTAAGCCGGTTTTATGCGGGATGGAGTAGTTTGCACGGGTTTTGGAGTGCTGTATGTGGGACTGAATTATTAGTAGGGAAGTAGATGTGACGGCGCTGGTTGCGCAGGGGTTGAAGATGGAACGGTGGATTTGGTTGTACGGGGGACAGTTAGGATGGAACAAAAACAAAGTTGCTGGAAAAGCTCAGCAGGTCTGGCAGTATTTGTGAAGGGAAAAACAGAGTTAACATTTCGGGTCCGGTAACCCTTCCTCGGAACTGATAGTGGCTGGGAAAACGTCAGTTTATATGCAGAAAATAGGGAAGTGGGTGGGGTAGGGTAGGGTGTAAACGATAGGATAGAACCCGAAGAGAGAGAAAGACAGTTGGACCGACGAAGGAGTTACTAACGATCAGGCTGGGAGGGTGAATAGTTGTAAATGGGGACTGTTAGTGACTAACAACAGGGGGTGTGTA